TCAAATCCGAATTTGAAACTCACTTATTTAAACCAGGTCAGTAGAATTAACTTATCGGAAACTATTACTAATAGGGTTTGAACGTGATCATGTGAACTTCCTAAAAAGATCCAATAAAACTACATTATATCTGGCAAGATTAAGGCATTCTGCTCTATACATGCAGAATATAGCCGAAAGGTTATCTAATTACCTGTGTGCCAAAACACTCATGCATTCCTTATCATACAACCCACTAAACAACTGAAATCAAAATTTGAAACAAACTAAACTGCAATTAAGTACAAGGCTACCTAATGTGTTTCTTTATTGAATTACAAACTAAACAAGTTACACAAATCTAATAATATTCGTAAAAACTGTAACTGCAGCAACGAATGATTAAACTCCCGCATATTTTTTATTTCATGCTCTTATTGTTACATTAGATGCAAAGTTCTAGTATGTACCTGGATGTTGGATACAACAGAAGAAGCATGGGGGTCAGTTAGAGCAATAGAAGCAATACCAAACAGCAGCAGTGGCAGCAGGTAACAAATAAAACAAATCCCAGTGCAAGAGGCAGCTAGAGCCAATGGAAAATGGCAGAATGACAGCAATAACCAGTAGTATAGAAACAGAGATCCAGACAATCCAATTCTAAGAGAAAACAACCAATACGAACCAACCAATAAACTTAGCTGATACTTGAAAGAAAACAGAACTGATTGAACAGTTTGAACAAACTGAGAATCGAACAAACAGCAGGAAGAAAATAGTTTCTGATTTTTGTATGTTTTTCTCTCTAGTATGTGTGTCTGTATAAGCCTCTCTGTGATATCCCTCTCACTATCTCTTTTCTTTCCAAAATCTAGTGCCAATTTTCAGTCTTGAAATCTATTTGAGTTATCAAAAAAGAATTCTTTTTCAGTGTTCTGTCTTTTCAAACCTCAGTTCTCCAAATTCCGTCCCCTTTTCTAATGGAAGTTCCCCTCTTATAAGCCTAACATCAGGCCATTTAAACAGCCTGTTAATCAATCAGAAAACCCCTCCCATG